AGGCAACAACAAACAACATTTTCCTTGTAGTACATAATTAGCTGCCTTGTATTGTTCTTTATGGCTCGCATTCTCGAATCTGTTATTTTGCCCGAATATTACTGTTTTTATATTTAATATAATTTATTTAGTGTGTCATCGTGACACCCTCTCGGAGCCTTCGACAGCAAAGACAAGGAATACGTTGGTGTAAAAGTAAAAGTCAAAGTACGACGCGGGTGTTTCTGATCACATCCCCACTATCATGTGTCATTGGCGTCGAGTGCTAATATCCATCGTATAAAAATGTAGGTACGTTTATATTGAGGTTCATTATCGCGGCAGTGCGGTGCAAGCTGAAGCTGCACCCTCCGTAAGCAGCATTTGTTCGTCAGGTCTTCCACTTTGGCGTACCAGCGCGTCGCGTCCCACCTAACTACTCGTATATCCGATCGTCTAGTAAAACAGCAAAGTGATGCAGGCGGCGGCGACGGGGCGCGGGGCGCGGGGAAGGTTCGATTTGTGTTTACAGTAACTACGCGCAAACAGTATCCTAATTACTGATACTGTACGCGTCGCAGCGCGATGATCCGCACCGCAGTAAGGTTGCACCTCCTGATCCCCATCGTCCGGACAGACAACTCGAAACAACGTGTATGGCTACCCTGCTACAATCCTCAAATACGTTTAAAGTATCGAAATTTAAGGTCTTTTAAGTCATTCGTTACTTTACTTAATTATTAAAAATGGCACTGCATACGTTATACCGAATACCATTAACACATTGTCCTGTCCCGACACACGTCTCCCATAAGCGAGAAACCCAGATTAAAGAGAAACCTCTAAGCGAGAAAAATATCTCGGCCCTTTAGAGTCACGCTGGTCCAGGTTCCACTGTAGTCCAATTGGGAGACAACACACATTAGACAAGTTACGAGCGCGGACGTCGCACGCTCTGTGCACTGTGATGTGCAATGATGTCGTTACCTTTAGTGATTTTATTACAGGAGATGTTCAATTGATTTTGTTAATAGATGTTGCGGAATTAAAGGCGAGGGTATGACAGACGTTAATACGGCCAACATCCTCTGTTCAATTGTAAAATAGTCAAAGACACGTAATTAAAAAACAATTTAAATTAACATGTTAATGTTAGTCGGTTGTTTCTCGACAATTACCCTGTGATTTTAGAAAGTCTTATGATTTTAATGTGATAAAAGATATACGAACTACGCTCGGGTTTTTTCGTTACGTTATAGTAGTAATTGGCACATTGGAGTGCATTGTTGCCGCGGCCGAGGGTGCGGGCCGAGGGCGCGGGCCCAATGCGTACTACGAACGCTGCTATCGCGTCTAATGCACGCAATCGCACCAGATAGCAGCAGATTGGCGCGTCTCGTTCCGCGCCTAGCGGCCTAGCGCCCGTAAGCTCCAGGCGGTCTTAGGGCGCCCTCATGCATTGTGTACAAATTATGCAGAATTTGTACAATTCAAAACCGTTTTGAATATAAACCCGTGACGTGAGGCACTTAGTAAATGTCGGTACTTACCCATCCCCGTGGTGGTCGTGGCCGTAGGCGGGCGGCGGC